CTACACATAGTACATGAGAGGTGTGTCTTGTGTAGAAACTACAAAGTGGGAGTTGTAATTCTTGTGTAAAAATGATTTTATTTAACAGTGTCCATTGTCATGAGACTGCCTCTACTTCTGGAAAGGTCTGGGTACATTTTGAAACAATCTTTCTATCTGACTCAATCTTTGAACCAATGACAAAATTATTATCTGCTAGGATACACCTGTTTTAATGAATATTTTTCTAAAAAATAAATTATGTACTGTCAGAATTATAGGAAAACAACTGAGGTTTTGAAAATATCGTATGAACATATATAGCATCCGTAACTCTCAGATGACAAACCAGTTGTTCATAGCTTTAACATGCTCTTTACATAACCGGGGCTCCCGCTGAAATTAAAAATAACTTTCTGTGCTTGACATTTGGATGAACATTTCGGGGGGGGGGAGCATACCTTTCCCTACATTTCTGTAATACACATTTACAAACAGCGCTTTGTAGATAAACTTCCAAGAAATTTGATCTCACATTCGCCTGCTGTGCCTGGAGCTGGGACATGGTTGGGTTTGCAAGATGAAACAAATGAATGCTTATCAGTTCCCAAGCCAAGGCTTTAGTTAATGTGCTTCTGTGACTTCCCACCCCCACCCCCTTCCCCAACTGCAGTTAAAGTTCAACCATTTGGGTTTTGAGTGCACCACAGCGAGACTATGATTGATACCATCGGGCACTGAAGCTGCTTTGCTATTGGGTCAGGCAGCCGGGCAAGAGGAAAGCAGTGCCAACCCTATTATATATCCCTGCCTCTGAGGATCACTCCGGGAGGCCAGCACCATACAACAAAGAAGGCCAATTCTTGTGTTGTTTACTTTTTATAGAATCAGGATGGCATTAATCAAAGCGAGCCCACTGGGCCTTCTACTAAGGACCTCTCCCTATTAAGAGGACCTAGTCTAAGTGTCTCTCGGTAAAGTCTAGTGTATTGTAGCTCATTTGACCTTTAAAGACCTTCTCTGCTGTGTGGCTGATTGTTATAGCTCCTCCAAGGATGTTTTAGTCTATTTATTGTTGAATATTGCCAGTAAGCATCTGTTATTTCAGGGATCTGTCCTACTGAAGTGGCCTTTGTAAATATACGCATTCCATCAGCCCAGCTCTCTTAGTTGAGACCTGGAGCTGACAAGGCCACAATTAATACTGTTTCCTGCCTGTTGAGTGTATGCCCACCGTGAGTGATATATGGATAAATCAGTGAGCCAACCGTGAGTCCTAATAGCTTAGGAAATATGCATCAGGAACACTTTTCTCCTCTGGCTTCTGCAGCACGAGGCAGGCTTTATGAGGGAGTGGAAAAATAACCAGTGTGGGCTGAGGCCCCTGTAGATTGCAGCACCAGCTGGGAGATTTGTATATGAAATATGTGGCCAAAAATAGGGACACCTGCATTGCTCACCAGAGTAATCATTTGATTTGCTGACATAAAGTTAAGTTTGCACATTCTGGCCAAGATGACCCCATTGTCAGTAATAATAAAAGAATTTAAGTGTTCCTAGGAAAGTATGCCCTTATTTTTTGGCCTAAAGAGCAGCATTTGGTGAAGTTATTATAATCTTTAGAGCACCATCATGTTGCTTCTCTCTCCATCCAGACTCTTACTTCTCCGATTGCCTAGACCACAATTAGTGCATTTGTGCTAGTAATTCGCACAGTCTCAGGGACATGGTAGGTGTTTAAAAATAATTTTGTGCCATGAATGAATATCCTCTGCAGTTAGGGCATCTCCAGGAGCAACAAACAGACTTTTCTGTCTACTCTTACCTGGGACGTTCAGTAGGAGAATCAGGCACGGAATACATACTCTTTCTTAGTAGTTTTTATCACTCGGGTCCCCTGAATCACTTGACATTTGATTTTTTAATCACTGTTTTTCTTTACCATTCCTAAATAATAAACAAGCATTTGTAGAATCCCTGGTCTTATCCCAGTGTCTGTTTTGTATTTTACTCGTGTCCTCCAGGTTCAGTGTTCCTCTGTACACATCTCCCTTTGGAGTGCCTTGACCACCCATTGTTGGTCATAGCTGGATCACTCGCCTGTCTTCCCTCTGGACTGTTAGCTCCGTGAGGCAGGGGTCTGGGTTTCTTCTCTATCCGCAGTGTTTAATGTTGTATTTGACTCACTGTGGGTGTGTGTTAATGTTCATAGGAAGAATGAATGAGTGAACCAACAATAGGAGTGAATGAATGAAATGAATGTAACTGATTCAACTTTAGCCACTTGTTTTCAGATGTTGGCTGGAAAAGTGAGTCATTTATACTCCTCCCTCTAATCCTCCCAATATTTTATAATAAGATTAATATTTTTATTTCTTCTGTTGGTCAGTTCTATAATCTTTAATCATTTAAAGATGATTTAATGATGATTTGTGTTTCCTTTTTTTTTTTTTTGACTCTTGTAATTTCTGTTGTGTCTTGATGCCCCGTTGTAAGCTGAGGATACTGGTGCGTTTACTACATTTCTCTCTTCCCATTTCTTGTCTTACCTTCGCCAGCTCCTCTTTTACTTTTCACTTCTTCTATAATAGTATTTACATTCTGATTTAAAGGGAACATGGGAAACTGAAGACAATAACGGATTTGCCTGAGGTTTCTTAGCTGGTTAATGTTAGAGCTGGGACTAAAACTTGGGCTTCAACTCCCAGTCTAGTGGGTTTTCTACCGATAAACTCATCAATTTGCTCATCAAATGTTTATTGACTGCCCATTCTCCACCATGCACTACATTGAGTACCAGGAATACAAACATAATAAGAAATGGTCTCAAATTGTATACTTAATAGTCAAGTAGTAGCTTGCTTGGATCTATTTCATTTAGTTCCTCTTCTAGAGATTTCTTCTGTTCTTTCCTTTGTGACATGTTTCTTTGCCTCCACATTTTGGCTGCTTCCTGGTGTTTGTTTCTATGTATTGGGTAGAGCTGCTATGTCTCCTGGAATTTGTAGAGTGACTTTGTGTAGTAGGTGTCCTGTAGGGTCCAGTGGCTCAGCCTCCCCAGTCACCTGAGCTGGGCCTTCTAGGTGCTCCCCTGTGTGGGCTGTGTGCACTGTCCTGTTGTAGTTGAGCCTTGGTTGCTGTTGGCGTCACTGGGAGGAACTGACCCCCAGGCCAATCAGCTGTGAGGACCAGCTGCA